GGGGGGGGGGGGGGGGGGCAGGTGACGCGTCATCGGGCCGGGTCAGAGGAAGGGAGCCTAAGTGAATGCCTGGGGGTGACCCTGGCCGCTGCCCCCCGCCCCCCAAGCAGGCACCCACGGGCTGCAGATCCTGAATGCCCAGAAAGAAGACGCAGGCCAGTACACCTGCGTGGTCACCAATGAGCTTGGCGAGGCCCTGAAGAACTACCACGTGGAAGTCCTCAGTGAGTCAGGGACCCTCCAGGGCACCAGTCGGGTGGGAAGGAGGAGGCCCGGGAACCCTAGGGCTGCTTTTGACACCCCAGATGCCTTCACATGGCCTGTCTCCTCTGATGGTCACTGGCCAGCCAGGGCCGTCTCAGTCATTTTAGGGCCGAGGACCTAGGAGGAGGGAACCAGTGAGCTAGGACTTGGGCCGCGTGGACGCCCAGAGCCACACCAGTCCTGGCTTCCTTCTGCCACTCACACTGTGATACAACCAGAGACCCCAGAGCTTGAGACCTGATACCCCCAAGAGGGCTCCCAGAGGTCACCCCAGGAATCCCCCCACCTCAGACCTGACCTGTCCCGTAACCAACCATCTCTCCCCAGGAGCGGGTGGGTTTCCAGAGTCCCTCCACTCTCAGAGAGCCAACACCCCGTTTCTGGGACAGACCCGGGACCAGGGGGAGCGCAGGGTCTCAGCACCTCTTCTGCGGGCCTGCTCCTCAGACTGCTTTGTGGTTTTCAGTTCCCCCTTCCATCTCCAAAGATGACCCCTCCGGGGAGGTCGGCGTGAAGGAAGTGAAGACCAACGTCAATAGTACCTTGACCCTGGAGTGCGAGTGCTGGGCCACGCCCCCACCCACCATCAGCTGGTACAAAGACGGACGGGTGAGCCCGGGACCCCCTGGCGGCCTCAGGTTCTCGGTCTGGTCCCCCTCGTCTGCTTGGAAGCTTCCAGAAAAGGCAGTCAAGGCATCAGTTCCCAGAGCTGGCCTGGGCCCTGCCTCGCCCTTTGTATTTTAATAAGAAATTCAACTCTTTATAGGAAACAAGTCTCACGAACATTAAATCCTATATTCACCCACTGAATTCTCTTCTAATTTTTAAGTTGTATGGATTTGGTGTTACAAAATTGTTGGGGTGTTCTTGTCGCTTTATGTTGTATTCCAAAAACTGTGTGAAGACAGTAGTATACTCTTCTGGGGGCTTTTTTCTGCCCCTCATTTCTGATGTTTGTTTCCCCTCTTTCCACCCTCAGCCCGTGACCCCCAACCAGCGTGTCCACATCCTTGGGGAAGGACAGCTACTCCAGATCCGGCCCACGCAGGTCTCGGATTCTGGGCGATACGTGTGCATGGCCACCAATGTGGTTGGCGAGGATGACCAGGACTTCAATGTGCTCATCCAGGGTGTGTAGGGCCACGGGGAGGGGTGGGGCGTGGGCCAGAAGGACTGGGAGGCCGCATAGCTGGGGGTGGGGAGTGTCGGTGCTTCTGGAGTGGCCTGGCGGGAGGGCTCTGTTCTCATCGCTGTCTGCATGTCTGGTCCCCAAGCCCCTGGCCTGGGCTCTTTCATGAACTGACCTTGTGACAAGGACATCGTTGTCCCCCAGGCCTTGGTTTTACCTTTGTAAAATGTGGGTGATCAAATCAGGTGACCTTGAGGGCCCCCCAGTTCAAAAAGCCGGTGATGAGGGGCCTCTGTGCTCCAAGGCATACACCGGCTAACGCTTAGTAACTGGCATTCTCCTCTGAGAAATACCAGCGTGTCACAGGACTGAGTCCATTAGACACGAGCTCCAGAGAGAGGAAACTTATCCTAGTGCCCAGCATAGTAGTTGCTCAGTAAACACTGGTTGAAGGAGTGAGTGAATTTAAAAACTGCCTTGGGGCTTCCCTGGTGGCGCAGTGGTTGAGAGTCCACCTGCCGATGCAGGGGACACGGGTTCGTGCCCCGGTCCGGGAAGATCCCACATGCCGCGGAGCGGCTGGGCCCGTGAGCCATGGTGGCCGCTGAGCCTGCGCGTCCGGAGCCTGTGCTCCGCAGTGGGAGAGGCCACAACAGTGAGAGGCCCGCGTACCGCAAAACAAACAAACAAACAAACAAAAACAAACAAACAAAAAAACAAAAAAAAACTGCCTTGACTGAAGGATTTGGCTCAAACGGTGGAATTTCTGCGCGTGGGGCGGGGCTGGGACGGGAATCTCTTCGAGCGCAAGTTCATCCCCGTCCCTCAGCTGTGGGTCCTAATGGCTTTGTCCCCCACTCCCCAGTGCCCCCCATGTTCCAGAAGGTGGGAGATGCCGGTGCAGCCTTTGAGACCCTGTCCCGGGAGGAAGAGGCCCGAGGTGGGGTGACGGAATACCGGGAGATCGTGGAGAACAACCCCGCCTACCTGTACTGTGACACCAACGCGGTCCCACCCCCGAAACTCACCTGGTACAGGGAAGACCAGCCCCTCTCGGCCACAGATGGGGTGTCTCTTCTGCAAGGTAGGCCAGGGCTGCACAGAGAAGCAGGGCATTTGCAGGCAGGCACCAGGGTCACACCCACATCAGAGCTGGTCTCCTCTGCCTTTCTGTAAGTCCTTGAGCTCTCCTGTGTGCTGCTTGCTGTGTGACCCCGGGCAGGGCATGTGACCACTCTGGACCTTAGCTGCCTTTTGTAAACCGGGGCTAGAAGTTCTTTACCGGTTTGAAGGCTAGAATGGGGTCCCCTTCTGCCTCTGGAGTTTAGAACCGAGGTTCTCATCTCGGCCGTGCCCACCTCTGGGCTTCAACATCTGTAATGTCCTGGCCCCTTTCTCTGGAGGTGTGGCCGGTTCCTTTATTAAGATCTTGTGACCCCAAATGCTGAAGAATCCCTCCCTGGGCTCTGATGACCACCCAGAGTCCAAGCTCATGGCTTATGTGACCTTTTAAATTTCTTCTCACAACTTTAAATATTTCTGTATGGTTATTTAATTTTTGTAAACAACTGCTTTATTTCAGAATAGTTTTTTGTGGATGACTTTGAATTAAAAGGCTCCGGGGATGGGACTTAGAAATGCCTGGCTTCCCTAGGGTGGCCCACAACTGGGAGGTATTCGAGACACAGAGCCTGGATGGGGTCCTACCGGGTCCTGCCAGGTCCTGCCTGGTCCTGCCAGGCTTGGGCCAGTTGTGGCGCTGTCCAGCAGAGGGGGATGATGTGGGTTGCAGGATGAACAGGGTCATTCCAGGGTTTGTACTTTGGTACTTGCAGAAGCAGGTTGCCCCTTGGAGATCTGGGAGAGGCAATGTTTACGGAAAGCTTGATTGACCTTTAACCTGGCACTGCCCTCTGACCTAGGGATGCAGCGAGCTCAGTCACATGCTGATTGGCCTCTGACCCTGGCCACTGACCCCTAATCCTGGGTACACAGTGGTCACAGTCACAGCTGACTTTAATTCTGGCCCTGATCACAGATTAACCACATGTATCGAGTGACCCCTCCCCCAGCCATGACCACTGCCTCCCCAAATCCCGGGTACTGTCTCCTGGCTCCGCGCATAATGAGCCCCTGGTTCTAACCCTGCTCACAGCCCACCACATCCTGGGTCAGAGATCCCCCAACCCAGAGTCCTGAGCACACAGCGATCCTAGCCCAGCTTCCACTGGAGACCAGCTCCAGTCCCACAGATGCCAGGCTCTGGCCCTGGCTGGCTCTTGTGCACAGAGGGTCCCAGGTGATGCCCCCCAATTGCCCCCACGCCCAACCACCGCCACCTCCTGAGAGCCTCTGCCGACATTTGCCAAGCTCTCTGCCCCTTCCCTCTGCCTTCAATGAGGAGCTGGGCTCAGCACTGCTGGGCACTCTTTGGGAGCCTCAGTTTTTCCATCTGTAAGATGGGAGTAGTAACAGCACACGGAGTCAGAGGCCAGGGAAATGCTCAGCCCAGGGCCTGGCACAGAGTAAGCCGCTACTGTGCTTTATTTGATCCCCTTGACCCGTGACCTGAGCAGAGCAGGCGATTCTCTGTGTTTCACAGATGAGGTGGGGGAGCGGGAGTGGCCGGGGGGGAAGTGATGTGTCCCAGGTCCCCTCCAGGGGGAAGAGCGGTAGTAACAGCACACGGAGTCAGAGGCCAGGGAAATGCTCAGCCCAGGGCCTGGCACAGAGTAAGCCGCTACTGTGCTTTATTTGATCCCCTTGACCCGTGACCTGAGCAGAGCAGGCGATTCTCTGTGTTTCACAGATGAGGTGGGGGAGCGGGAGTGGCCGGGGGGGGAGTGATGTGTCCCAGGGCCCCTCCAGGGGTAAGAGCGGGTTTCCTTGCCCTGGCTCAGGCCTCTGTCCCCATGTCCCCGCAGGAGGCCGGGTCCTGCAGATCCCCCTGGTACGTGCGGAAGATGCCGGGAGGTACTCTTGCAAGGCCTCCAATGAGGTGGGCGCGGACTGGCTGCACTACCAGCTGCTGGTGCTGAGTGAGTGGCCCGGCCTGGGGGCGGGCGGGCGCGGCGTGGTCTCATGTCTACAGGTCCCATGAGGGGCCCCCTCCCAAAGGGGGTCCCAGTAGAGAGCATGTTCAGTCCTACTGTACTCAGAGGTTGGTAAGGTAGGGGTTACGAGCTTGGGCTCTAAAACCAGACAGGACTGGATTCAAATTGCAAGTGAGCTGCTTCCTAGCTGTGTGACCTTGAGCAAATCACAGCCCTCTCTGTGCCCCAGATTCCTTAGCTGCGGCAGGGCCTGGGAGCGCTTGGTGGGCAGGGTTCAAGGAGCCCCAGCCAGTGCCCGGCACCAAGTGGTGTTCTTGCCTCGACGCCCACCGCCCCCCGGGACCTTTCCCAGGGAGGCTCTGCCCACCCTCACCCTCTTCTACCCCCCCACCCCAGCCCCACCTGTGATCCTGGGTGCCACAGAGGAGCTGGTGGAGGAGGTGACTGTCAACGCCAGCAGCACCGTCAGCCTACAGTGCCCAGCCCTGGGCAACCCTGTGCCCACCATCTCGTGGCTCCAGAACGGGCTGCCTTTCTCCCCAAGCCCGTGGCTGCAGGTCCTGGAGGATGGGCAAGTCTTGCAGGTCAGGGCGACCCCCTGCTCGGGCTAAAAGCAGCCGCTGCTGTGACTCAGTGCTGCTTGTCTGAGGACCGATGAGCTAACCACTCTCTGTGCCAAATGAGGCTCTTTGCCTGAAATCACGTTGGAGCCCCTGGGATTTAATTCAGCCCACCAGATAATCGTATGTGAGCAAACTTGCTGGGCTACACATGGCACCTGAAAAGGACACACAGGCATGCCACACTTGGAGCCCAGCACGGCACAGGGCAGCCTTCCTCGGGAATGCCATTGGACGCTTACAGAGCTGTGCCCAGCACCTAGGACCTCAGGCAGCTCCTCGGCCACCCAGTGTCCAGACACAGCGCCACGGGACCCCTGGAGTCCAACACAGCACACAGCACCCTCCTTGGGGCTGGGGGAGGGGACTGTTGTCACCGTCTAGTTTGCTACAGGGAATCATCCGTCAGCTTCGCATCCCCCCAGATGTCACAGAAAGCCCTAGATGGCTGTGGGGTGAGCCCCTAAGCATTGCTCCATGTAGGCAAAGGTGGTCTTCCTGGTCCCTGCCGTGCCTGGAATGGGTGGGAGGAACCCTCACACTAGTTCCTGGTGGGACCCAGAGCCATCCGGTCGGTGGCATGCGCCCACAGGTGTCCACGGCAGAGGTGGCTGACGCTGCCAGCTACATGTGTGTGGCCGAGAACCCGGCGGGCTCCGCGGAGAAGCTCTTCACCCTCAGGGTGCAAGGTGAGCTGGGCTGAGCAGGAAGCCCCCTGGGTTCCCCAGCTGAGGAGGGGCTGGTGCTCTGGGTCTGCCCCACGCGCTCCGAGGACTCACCGTGCGGGCGGACACAGCGCCTCGGTCCTTCCAGTGTCCTGGGCTCTGGGCCTGTGCCAGCCGTACCCCAGGAGTGCATTTGGGGGACGCTGATCACTAGATAATTTTAAGCAGCTTCGGAGGCTGCCAGAAGAATGGCTCTTCTGAGGCCTTACAGCACCATGATTGCGCATCTACTGTGTACCTGGCGTGGGGCTGAGTACTTTCCCCAGACTCATAGCTGAGAGGTTAGCCCAATTTTAGGGCTGTGGAAACAGACTCAGAGATGTCACCCAGTGGGGGTCTCCCCGCCCTGGAGTCGGCCCTGTCAACCTCTGCATTCTTGTGACACATACACATCTCAGTGGCCATGAGCTCTGCCTCCAGATGTGGGGCAGCTGTGGCCTCAGGGGCGGAGGGATGATGGTGTTACTCAAGGTCTAGGACTCAAACCTGAATTGATATTCTGGCTCTGCCACTGAGCAGCTGAGTGACCTTGGAAAAGTGACTCTCCCTCTCTGATCTCTAAGCCCCCGTGTTCACATCTGTAAGATGGGTAAGACAGATAGGAGCTGCTGCACAGTGAGGTTTGAAGCTCCAGGAGCTAGTGAAGGCCCTGTGTTTCACTCTGTGGCTGTCTGCTCCCTGCCGGTATGCATTGTCATGTGTCTTTCTTTATCCTGGTGGCCGCGGGGACAGTCCCACCACGAATCGCGGGTCTGAACTCGGAGCAGGTCACCGCCATCCTCGACAGCAGCATCTCCTTCCCATGCGAGGTCCACGCTCACCCGAGCCCTGAAGTCACGTGGTACAAGGACAGCCGGGCCCTCTCCATGGGAGAAGACGTCTTCCTCCTGCCTGGTGAGTAAACTGAGGCTGGGGACGCAGCTCTGAGGCTCTGTGGGAAAGCAGAGCTGCCTCCCCAGACCTGGGATGGGACTGGATGTCGGGGAGGGCTTTAGGACTGTGGGCGTGGGGGCTGGGGGCTGGGGCCTGTTTGCTGGTGCCAGGGGCTATCTCCCCCACCTCTGGCAGGCACCCACACGCTGCAGCTGGCTCGGGCACAGCCATCGGACTCTGGAATGTACATGTGTGAGGCCCTCAATGCCGCCGGCCGAGACCAAAAGCTGGTGCAGCTTAGCGTGCTGGGTATGTCCTGTCTGTCCCCCCACCTGCACTGTCCCCCACTCCTTCAATCAGCCCTCACACCCTCAGACAGCACAGCCAGGAGAGGGGCAGCCGGCCCTGGGGGAGCCTGGGATGCCCTGTGCCCTCTGCTGCAGTGGTATCTGGGGGGCATATGGTGGTTAAGATCCTAGTTTTTAGCGTTTGGACATGCTTGGGTTTGAAACTCAGCTGTGCACTTATTTGCTCTGTGACCTTGGGCAAGTCACTTCCCCTCCCTGAGCCTTGGGTCTCTCATCTGTAAGGTGATGGTTGGTGTAAGGGTAAGATGATGGTATGTGAGCCGTTAGCCCAGTGCCTGGTGCCCCGTGAGCTGTGAAGCTGAGGAGGGGACAGCAGGAAAACAGCCAGAGCTGGCCCAGGGAGGGCCCTTCCTAAGCCTGATGGATCACGAAGTTCTCCGCATGGAACCTTTTGGGGGGCTTCTGGTCTTCAGAATCCTCTTGGGGAAAAGCTGGCCCAAGATGTCATGAGCCAGCACTCCCTGGAGGGTTCTTTCAAGCCCTGGGGCGAACATTCATTTGTGCCTGTTCACCTACTGTGTGCCCGGCACCGTGCCAGGTCTTGTGGGCTCACAGCTGGGGTGGGAGATTCTACACTGGTTTGCTGGAGGGACATGGGCCTGTGGACCCCCATGGAGGGCCCTAACCTAGCTGGGGCCTGCCCTGTGTAGGAAAGAGCCTAGGAGGGTTGTCATAGCATCTCCCCCGACTGGGAGGCTGAACCCAGAGAGGGCAAGAGGCTTTTCCCAGGTCACCCAGCAGGCCCTTGGCATGCTGGCCTGGATTCTCTTCTTCCAGCTCCCTGGGTCTGTGCCATCCCCTGCGGTGGGGTCCACTGCGTGACCTTGTCTCTCCATAGGCTGTTAGCCTGCGGCTGGGGCCAGGGAGAACACGGGGAAGGCCACGCCCCTCACTCAGCTCATCTCCTTCCCCAGTTCCCCCAACCTTCAGGCAGGCTTCCAGTGGCCCCCAGGGTGTGGTCCTGGTGAAGGCAGGGGACAAGGCCGTCCTGAGCTGCGAGACAGACTCACTTCCCGAGCCAGCCGTGACCTGGCACAAGGACGGGCAGCCCCTGATCCTGGCACAGAGGACCCAAGCTCTGCTGGGTGGGCAGAGGCTGGAGATCCAGGACACCCAGGTGAGATGTCTGGTGGTGCGGGCAGCCATGGGAAGCCCTGGGAATGTCGCCTCCTGGTCCTGGGGAGCCCCTGGGAATGTCGCCTCCTGGTCCTGGGGAGCCGAGGGTGGGCGTGGGGGGCAGCTGGGTGGCAAGATGGGGGTACTGCTGCCTCCTTGGCCTGCAGGACCCCAATCCAAGGTGATTAGCAGCGTCCGGGGTGGGAGACGTGGGAAGATCACGGGGCCCCAGATCCGGCTCCACACTGACTCACAGAATCACTTTGAGCAGATCCGCCTGCCTGTTGCCCCAGAATCCAGAAGCCTTTCCAGGGTCCTCTGGTTAAGACTCCCTGGGAGTCTGTTCCACCTGCCCACGCCCCTCCCTGGTATGGATTAGACACTCACAAGTGTTCTTTGGATGAACATTTGCTGCTCCTCTGGAAATGCACGTGGGCTCCGTCTCCTGACTCAGCGCCATCCCCACAGTGAGGGAACCTTCTCCAGGCTCCACTGACAGACATGCAGCCCCAGGGAAGGGTGGGGTCTGGATCCTGTGCACTTACCTTCCATCGGCCCTCCTGCATCTTAAGGCTCTTGGGAAAGGCCAGAGGGTCCCATCTCCCCTTTGGCTTCCCAGGCAGGACCAGCGTATTTGGGGAGTCCCTGCTGTGGAAGGTTCTGGGACCTGGATGTTTTGGGGGAGCCGTAGGTATCCCCACTGCAGCCGCACACTGTCTTCATGTGTTCTCTCTGTCTCAGGTGTCGGATAAAGGTTTATACAGCTGTAGAGTCAACAATACAGCCGGGGAGGCCGTGCGGACCTTCATCCTCACAGTCCAGGGTAAGCTGGGCACCAGGCTGCCAGCGTCGCTGTGGTACCCCTAGCAGCACAGGGAGTTGCCAAGGATGGGAAGGGCCATAGCTGGAAAGGGAAGGTGTGGCTGAGTGTTTAGGGCACAAGATCTGGAATTGAAAAGACCAGGATCCGAATAGGACTCTGCCAATGACTTGCTCTGCGGGACTCAGTAGAGTGACTTTACCCCTTTGAGCCTCAGATTTATCTTCAGTAAAAGGAGCTAAGAGTAGTACCTGCCTGTGTGGCACACAGGAAGTGCTCCATCTGTGGTCTGCCATGACTGTGTCTAGAAAGTGCTGGGCACGGGGCATGGAAGCACTGGGACAGGAGCCCTAAGAGATCAGACCCTCAGAGTGCAGGGGCCATGTCACCCCTGCCTAAGCCCTGAGGTGCCTGCCCCAGCAGCCCAAGAATGGAACATAGATGGCATTTCATTGGGTGTAGCTCAAGCTGGGGATGAGGGAGAGCCTGTTGGAGCTGCCTAGGGAAGCAAGGGATGAAGGCTTGGCCAGATTTTCTCAGGATCAGCTATTGTGTCGGTTAGGGAATAGACTCAGCTGGGTAACAAAAAGACCCCAAAATACAGTGCATCAAGTAAGAGAGACGTTTACCTCTGTCATCCAAAAGCCCAGAGGTGAGTGTCTAGGCTGGAGGGTAGATCTGTACCTACCAAGTGGTAATTTAGGGACCAGGATCCTTCCATCCTGTTGATCTCCCATCCCCTGGGGGTTGTCCCTGTCCATGTCGCATCCTGTCCCAGCCCACGAAGCAGAAATGAGCAGATGTAGAGGGCAAGCATTTTTATTTTAAGTGGGTGATGCAGAAGTTGCATCTGTCCCCTGTGCTTGTATCCCATGAGTGAGAACTTTGACAGCTGGCCACAGCAGGCTGCAGGGGAGACTGGGAAATGTGGTTTCTACCTGAGTGACCCCATGCAAGATGGGATGGACAGCCTGGGGGGACACCAGCTGTCTGCTGCACATGCCAAACCCTGTAGCCTCTCCAAAAGGGGGACAGTGGATGGATTCAACCTTGAGCCATATTGAGTACCAGTGTTGAAAATGATTGACACCAGGTCTCCTGCTCAAAGCTCATAGCTGCTTATCCTGGTGGCCACCTTAATGAACAGTGGGAAGGGAGGAATGTCTGGTCCTTGAGGGAGAAGATGTTTCATCCTGAGCACAGCTATCTCTTTTCCACTGGGATGCATGACTTTATTCTGGCTGAGCAGGGGAGAGTGCTGGGATCAATTAGTGATGTCTGCCCTGGCATAGTCTAAGGTCTGCTGGTGCAATAGCCATGAAATTTACCATCCTTGGGCTAAGTGGTCCCCGCCTGGGCTCTGCTTTGTAAATGTTTTGAAATAGCCAGCTGCTGGTTGTATTTACATTTGCGAATAAAACAACTCATATCATCATCAATGGCAAGGCATAAAATGTCAACTCCTAACCACAGGGAAGGGCTTCTCGGGCATCCCTGATCTGCCTGAGAGGAAGGAAGTAGGAGGCAGGGTCTTAGTATTCTGGGAATCTGGCTTCTCTCCTGCAGTGCCCCCAACGTTTGAGAACCCCAAGACGGAGACCGTGAGTCAGGTGGCTGGAAGCCCCCTGGTCCTGAGCTGTGACGTCACTGCAGTCCCTGCACCTAGTGTTACTTGGCTGAAAGACAGAATGCCTGTTGGTGAGTGCATTAGTCCTTATCTTTTTGGTGCCAAGTAGTCCTTTATTTAATGAAATGGCAGTGAAAACAGAAGGGGTAGTTGGCTGTTAACGGTTCTTACTTGGCAAAATCAAAAGCTGGCAGTGCCCTGTTGGTCCCATCCCCACCAATTTGTCTTTTAACCCTGTTGGCCTTGAAATCCCAACACTGAGGACCATTTGAGTGGGGGCTCAGTGGCTCTTTGTGTTTGTATCCATAGTCAGCTCCCACGGGACAGAAATGCAGAGTGGGTGCTGAGGGTCTAGCTGGCCTGACCCTGGGCCTGGCGTTGGCCCCAAAGCTGCTCCTTCTCCAGTAACTCAGCTCCGTTCGGCCCAGCTGTTGGTCACCCCCATCCAGGCCTTCCACCTTGCCCTGCTCTCTTCCTCTCCCCCGACCCACCCACCCATCAGTCAGTAGACACCTCGTCTTGTCAACATAAATGCCTCTGGTGCCAGCACTGCTCTCCGTCCATAGCCTTTCCCGTTCCAGCCACCACTGTCCACACCCCTGGGTGAGGGCAGCAGCCCCTACACTGGTCTCTCGGGTCTACTCCATGCCTCCAATGCAGGCTTCACCGGGGCAGAAGGGATCACAAAGTGCAGCTCTGAGTAGGTCAGTTGTCTGTTGAAACTGAAAATCCTTTCGTGGCTGGAGTCCTCAGAACCACAGCCCAGGAGGCCCTTCAGGGCTGGGGCCAGCCCCCCTCTCCCTGCCCTGCTGCGTGCTCCAGACAGACCCAGCTGCTCTTGACTCCTTGCATATGCCTATGTCTGTCTGTCTGTCTCTGTCTTTCTCTCTCTCAATAACAGCCTTATTGAGATGCAATTCACATACTCTACGATTTACTCAATGAAAGCATATAAATCAATTCTTTTTTGTATGATCACAGACCATCCCCACAATCAATTTTGGAACTTTTTTTTTTTTTTTTTTTTTTTTTTTTTTTTTTTTTTTTTTTTTTTTCGGTACGCAGGCCTCTCACTGTTGTGGCCTCTCCCGTTGCGGAGCACAGGCTCCGGACGCGCAGGCTCAGCGGCCATGGCTCACGGGCCCAGCCGCTCCGCGGCATGTGGGATTTTCCCGGACCGGGGCACGAACCCATGTCCCCTGCATCGGCAGGCAGACTCTCAACCACTGCACCACCAGGGAAGCCCTTGGAACATTTTTTTTCCAACTGTATATTTTCTTTTTTAAAAAATTGAAATATAGTTGATTTACAATGTCGTGTTAGTTTCTGCTGTACAGCAAAGTGATTCAGCTTTACATATATACATTCTTTTTATATTCTTTTCCATAATGGTTTATCATAGGATATTGAATATAGTTCCCTGTGCTATACAGTAGAACCTTGTTTATAATTTTGGAACATTTTTATCACCCCAAGGGAAATCCCTTACCCATCGCCTTCACTCCCAGCCACCCCAGCCTTAGGCAGCCACTAACCTACTTTCTGTCTCTATAGACTTGCCTGTTCTGGACAATCCATATAACACATGAAGTCATACAACACGTGACCTCTCGTGACTGGCTTCTTCCACTTAGCATTGTGTCTTCAAGGTTCATCCGTGTCGTAGCATGTGTCAGTTCTTCATTCCTTTTTTAAGTTAATTCTTTTCTTTCTTTTTTATGGCTGAACATTCCTCTGTGTAGATATATCATGTTCTGTTTATCCGTCCACCAGCTGATGGACATTTGTGTTGCTTCCACCTTTTGGCTGTTCTGGATAGGGTGCTGTGAATGTTTGTGTACGAGTGTTTGTGTAGTTCCTCTTTGATATATACCTGGGAGTGGAATCGCTGCGGACCCTGTTCTCTCTCGGCTCCGGCTCTTGGCACGCGCTGTTTCCTCCCTGAAATACTCATCCCAGGCTCCCCGGACCACCTCCACTTTCACCTGGCTGATTCAGACTCACCTTCAGGTCTCAGCTGAGACTCACCTCCTCCAGAAGCCTGGCCTGGTCTCTCCGTGCTCCGTCAGGGTTTCACCGGGCTGGGCACACAGGATTGTACCTGCGTCACTGTCCCTGATGTATTTTGAACTCCTTGAGGACAGGGACCATGTTTCACTCATCCTTGATTCCCGAGCTCTCTCGCTGTTGGACATATAGTAGTTGCTCAGTACGTTTTGTGTTGAAAGACTGGCTGGACAGATGAGGATCTGGGGGGAGGGCAGACCAGTCTGGACCGGTGCAGTTAGAGAAGGCTTTGGGGCAGAGGTGCTGCTGGAGAACACGAGGGGGAGGCATTCTAGGCTGGGGGAGGGGTGCAGCCTGAGCAGAGGCCCAGGGGAAGCCCCTCACTGGACTCATGTTGGAGTCAGTGAGTGGCTGGTTCACCTTGATCAGTGCGGGGAGGGAAGGGTTGGAAGGAGGGTGGGAGATGAGGGCTGGGCCTGAGAGTCAACAGGAAGAGGAGAAAGTCCTGGACTCTAAAGGGAGTGGGGCGGGGGGACTTCCCTGACTGTCCAGTGGTTAAGACGCCGAGCTCCCAATGCAGGAGGCACGGGTTCGATCCCTGGTCGGGGAACTAGGATCCCGCCTGCCACACGGCACGGCCAGAAAAGTAAATAAAAATAAAGAGAGTGGGGTCCCTTGGGAAGAAATGTCCCCAGTGAGGGCAGTAGGGAGGGGTTGGCTGTAAGGACCAGAGCAATCAAAGGAGTCCAGGCTGGGGAAGGCCGTGACGTAAATGGCTAGAGGCCCTGCCCACGTCTGGGCCTCAGTTTCCCTATGAGCATAAGAAAGGGGTGGGTGATTCAAGGGTTCCCAGGGTCTTTCCAGCCTTGTGAGTGTGGGGGTCAGGCGCCCCCTGAGGGAGTCATGAGACTTCTCTGTCTGGGCCCAGGGGTGGCACCTGGGGCGGTGGGTCAGAGCAGGTGAAGTCCTGCCACACCCTTCCGTCCTACAGAAAGCAGTGTGGCACGTGGTGTGGTCTCCCGGGGGGGCCGCCTCCAGCTGAGTCACCTGCAGCCAGACCAGGCTGGCACCTACACGTGTGTGGCCAAAAACGCCCAGGAGGAGGCCCGCAAGGACTTTGTGGTGGCCGTGCTGGGTACGTCTGCACCCTGCGCCCCCCGTGTCCCACCCCCATGCCAGCCCCGGCCACTGGCCCGGGCCTCACCACACCCACTCTGCCACAGTGGCCCCCCGGATCCGGAGCTCGGGCGCCACGCAGGAGCACAACATCCTGGAGGGGCAGGGGCTGCGGCTGGACTGCGAGGCTGATGGGCAGCCACCACCCGACGTGGCCTGGCTGAAGGACGGTGGCCCACTGGGCCAGGGCGCCGGCCCCCACCTCCGGTAAGACCCAGCCTGTGACATCCCCGCCCCAGGAGGCAAGCCTGCAGGCCCTCACGCACCTGCTCCCGGCTCTCCCTCCCCGGGGCAGGTTCTACCTGGAGGGCAGCTCCCTGGTGCTAAAGGGCCTGAGGGCCTCGGACTCGGGGGCCTACACCTGCGTGGCCCACAACACGGCCGGTGAGGACGCCAGGCTGCACACCGTGAACGTGCTGGGTGAGCAGCTGAGGGGCGAGGAGGGCCAGGCCGCCTCACCGTCCCAGGGCGGCAGCAGCCTGGCCGCCGTGGGGCCTCCACTGGGGCACCTGGAGGGTGGTGCCAGGGCCCGGATACAGGAGCCCTGGTGAAGCCCCAGCCGTGCCCACTCTGTGAGCCAGGCCAGCCTTACCTCTCCGGGCCTCTGCCCCATTCTCAGGCTAGGGGCACAACCGCTCCAGCCCAGGGGCACAGTGGGGGAGTCGGGATAAAGGAGAGACCCACGCCCCCAGGCAGTGGGCTTCATCCTCACCTGGGCTGGGCGCGGGCCTAAGACCCACGTGATGATTGCCACACAATGGCTGCACGTGGCAGAAGTCGAGGTATCGGCGCCACCTCCTGGGACTTCGCTGAGAGGAGAGAGGAGCCCACCTCCCCGCCCAGGCCCCCTCACTGCCCCCGTTTTTCCTCTCTGCCCACCCACCAGTGCCTCCCACCATCGAACAGGGGGCAGAGGGCACAGGGACCCTGGTGAGCAGGGCTGGGGAGCTGGTGACCATGGCGTGCCCTGTCCGGGGCTCCCCACGCATCCACGTGAGCTGGCTCAAGGATGGCCTGCCCCTTGCGCTCTCCCAGCGCACCCACCTCCACGGCTCGGGCCGCACCCTCAGGGAAGGGAGTGGCTCCCCCCCCCCCCCCCCCCCGGCTG